CATGTGAACCAAAGCAGGCTATCAGGTGAAAATCCACAGCTTCATTTCAGCCATTTAACCAATCCAAGCTAAAACACTTATGCAGCTAGTCCTTAGACTGCACATTCTTAAGCAGAAGAGTACAGTCTGAAATCTGGCATGTAAGTTTATGGTCATACAGCTAAATAAGCTGATTGGTTGGAGCGTTTCAACTCTGGGCTCCCAGCTCAGCTGAGCATATAGGTACCTGAATGTACCTAGTAAACATATATTTGAGGGTTCTTCTTTCTGGAAGCCAAATTTTAAACTTTGGGCCTTAATTACTTGTTTAGGCACATAAATAGAATTTACTAAGTACCATTGTTTCTTACTGGCTTCACTAGGATGTGAAATGAAATGTAGGCTGTTATATCTCAGATGCCCCAAAACAGGGAGTAGGAAGCAAACCTTAGATTCACTGCTCTGAAAATTCTTAACTTCATAGTGTGGTGAGACAGCAAAATTTCCTTCTGATATGGGAATTTGTTTTGGGTGTTCTTTGTTAAATTTTATCACTATTCTGCAATGGATTATAGCACATGGAACTTTCTACAGGGAGCTATACCTGCTTTTCTTGAAAAAAGCGTGGCTTTTTCTCACTAGTTATAGCACACAGGAAATATTAAAACCATCAGTAAACCCCTTGTTATATCTCTACAGGTATCTCTCCAAATCAGGAAAAAAATCCACACAGTTGCACAAACTAGTTTTGGATCAGCAGTGTGCACTCACACTAACTTTTCAAACTCATGATTTCAAAGTAAAGTCAGTTCTATAGAGATTAGATACACGGAAGAACATAATTTTGTGCTCTTTCCATACATGAAAATCAGAAGATAAGCATGGCAAAATAATCATATGCCAGTGCAGTGGCATATTGGAGGAAATTTTATAGCTACTACAACTGTTATGCCTGGGATCTGATTAAAGATATCAATACATTCAAATTAATACTTCACATACACTCCAGTATTCTAAATGCTGTGTATAATTATATCTTACTGCAGGACAATGAAGCATAATAGGAGCATTCACTCATGCAGTATGAAATAATAACACACAACGTATTAAATTAGCTTTTCCAATATCCTACCATTGCATGTTCAGATTTTAAGTGAGCAAATCATACCTGCCACGATGAAATGGATAAGGAATGACCAGGAATGAGAAATAGTTTTCATAAAAATCTGTAGAAAGAATGGCTCTGGTGAGGCATATGTACTGTCTGTAAAGCTCCATCCCTCCCCCAAACTTGGTTTCTGCCACTGCTGCTTTACAATGAATGAGGTCCTCCGGATACATAGTCATGAGCACAGCTGTCCACACTGTGTGTCCCTACAAGGAATACAATATTCACACATCCTTCTCTACACATCTCTGTAGCTCATGGAGGTGATGACGTTTGCTTCCACTAGTAATACATAGTCCATATACTTGCCATGGTTTAACCTGGGCACGCACTGCTCTTTCCTCCTGATGACAGGAGAGAGCTGAAGTCAATAGGTGCATTGACATGAGCCAGGTCTCCCTTATGTGTCGGACAGTGCTGCTATGGCATGTTTCTGCCTTTTTGCAGAGATTGTCTCCTTGCAGAACATATGTTAATTCAATTTGGGAGACTCTACTGATTTATTTGTGAGACTCTACCATCACTAGCCCCCATCACAGTCTCCACCTATGACTAAAACTCCACCAGATTACAGAACTCTAAGGCTGTAAAGTGTGCATCTCAGTGCTCCTTCCCTGAGCATCCAGTGCTATAAACACTGTTTGAGCAGATCGTCTAGCATATGCAGATTTTATGCAAAGTTTATTCTGTGCAGCAGTTTGCCTGCCTCTTTCTAATACACTTTTCATTATCTTCCGTGTTGTGTCTCCTACTCAACAGCAAACAGAAGGCATTGTTTACAACAACTGTATCCTGTCTGCCAGTATGCATACATATCTTGATAAGACAATAGTGCAGCTATAACTCAATATAGTTTATACTAAAAGAACCAGGCATCGAAAGAGAGGATTGCTATCTATAACCACAAGAGACAGAAAAGCAATGCACAGAAGTGTAACAGGAAGAAAGAGCATTAAGAGAAGGAAGCAGCATACGAGGGGAAATTCCTGTCAGTCAGCAGTATTAGGTGGTGGAATAGATACCCAGGCAGAGAAACATAAAGCTATTGCTCAAAAAATTTTAAACAAAACTTTACACATCACTTCATTTAAAAAATGTACTTAGAAGAATAGACAGCACAACACAAATGTCTATTATTAGAATATTTTGATACGCAGTTTTCATCACCTAGTGGCACACAGGTGAAGGGATTGATGGAAAGCAGACCTTCAGAAGAAGAGCTAGAAGCACCACCACTCTGTGACTCCACTCCATGTCCTGCACCTCCTGCTGTGTCACTCAACTGGCCCATGTCCTGGAGAAACACCTTTATTATGAATAACTATTAACCTCAGTCTCCTCCCTAGAGCCCCCCGAGGTGGCCCGCCATGGCACAAAGCAAGCCAGCCTGTGAGGACCACGCAGCACAGCTGGGATGTAGGCAGAGCTCCCAGCAGTCCAGCAAACTGCCAGCCCTGCAAACCCCTAGTGACCCTGTCCTGGACACTTCTGTTTCCTGGGAAGGCGAGGTATGCGGCGCACACTGTTCACAGAGACAAGAAGTTACTGTCCCTGCCCTCCAGATCCCCCCGATACCTGACAGAACACTCTGGACATCTGGTCAGCCAACCAACGTCTCCCAACCAGCTGTCCTCACCACAGTCAGTAATACTCAAGTTTGATGCCTCTCTTTAGCAACTGTATAGTTGCTCCATGCACAGTTATATATCTGGGCACATAAAGATGAAGACTACTTGTATCAGGTGATACCAGCTGCTGAATTTTTGCTGCACTGAGTAGGGTTGATCGTTGCAGATATTTGCAGCAGCACACAACTTGCAGCTTACAGCTGCCTTTGGTTGCAATGCTGTATTAATAACATTTGCAGCCTAACTCAGTTTGATACTATTTGTGTTATAGTGTATCTGCATTGAACCAGCAGGGATTTCAGGAGAATCATATGGGTCACTAAAATAAGAAATGGTGTATCTCTCACAAGGCACAGCTTACAGCCTCACAAGACTACTGGGGGGCTGAGGGTCAGCCTCACATCTGCTAAAGGACTAGAGGCAACATCTTCACAGGGGTGTTTTCATGTTGTCTCATTAATTTCATCGTTTGCTGCATAATATATTTCTTCCATAAGAGCTGGAAGGTTAAACTTCCTACCAGGTACAACTATCTATGCCTACTTTCTCAGCCAACAAATAGTTTGCACTTCTCTGCAATACTTCAACTGTATACATAATTGTAATTGTATACATCCTTGAGCAGTTCCTTTAATCTTCTCAGGTTTTTGTTTGAACCATTCAAGGCTGTGAAGTACTGCTTACACAAAGTTGACTTCAGAACAGTTCACTCTGAACTATTCTTGGCTATTAGTACTGATTAGGCCCCAAGCAAAGAACAGGAATATGTTTCTCAGTTGTAAAACCATTGAAAATGACAAAACCTGCATTTTCTGAGGGAAAACATAAATTTAAAAATGTATAATAAAGCATCCAGGCTTGGTATTTTCTACTTGGAGGCATTTGCCTTAAAGGCAGTTTCTTTTATCACAGCTGCCAAAGTTGTTTATTCTCTTCGCTTAGCATGTGACTTTTCTCGAAGTGCTAGAGCACACACCAGTTGATGAGCGCAGATTAGGAAGAAAAACAGGCTGCACAGAAAATCCTGTATTTTAAGGCCAAGAAGGAACACTTGCAGGGGTCTGAGGCCTCCTTGCAGAGGTGCTTCTGCCTAGACAACTCTGGTTATCTGTTGCCATCCTACAGCCTCTCACAGCACAGTAACAGAGGCCAAGCACTGCTAGATACCTCCTGTACCAGGGGGTGTGTTCCAGGAATGCTGGAGCTGAATTTGAACTTCCCTTATCAGGAACAGTGAAACCAAGAGCAAGCAGCTTCCCAGAAACTGCAACTGTTCAAGATCCCCCGTGTTGAAATGACTGCTTTTCAGCAAGTGCTACTGTCAATCACAGCAGGCCAGACCAAGAGGAAATGTAATTGTGATAACTGAGTATTTTTAGTATCTCTAGAGGAAGTGAGTAGTTTAGTTTGCTTGCTCTCTGGAGAAGCTATCATTACTATGCCATTTTAACATCATGTCCTGGAGCACACATATAGATTGTGCACAGAAATGGGGTGGTATTTTCCCTTTTCACATAACAACAAATCAGCCCGCACTTAACTTTCCATGACAGGATGTCTTAAAAAGGCTGCACCATCCTTAAATTGTTTTGGACTTAATTTGGAGTTGTCAGGCAATTAGGTTTTGCAAAATTGGCTTATGGAGTGACAGCTTCTATTGTTACAGCATATGGCAACGAGAGAGCAGCTTGTGGCAGATGTGATGTTTATTCACTATTAGCTAGTTTTAGATTTAACGGTGTCATTCTAATCAAAGCAAATGTTAGATGTGTTTGACATCTAAGGAGTTTTGCAGCTCCCCATGACTTTTAAGTTGCTTCTGTCAAGTGGAAACACTGCAGCTGTGAATGAGTCTTACTAGGTTGTATTTAAGAACTAATGATGCAATTTACTGGAGGTCTGTATTCCAAAAATCCTGTGCTTCTAACACGTATTGTGTTTCTCCTGTAGACTACAAAGGCCCCCCTATTACAATAAGTGAACTCATTAAGCATGCAGCTCCTCAGTCTTGCAAGCTGTTGCGATAAGCAGCTGTTGCAAGAGGGTGAAAGGTTGAATTATCAACTTGGACAGCACAGCTCTCCATTCAGCTAGCTCAGGAGAGAAAGTATTTGAGCAATAACTCCATTACTGTAGAGTATACCTCTGACAACAGCACACGAGCAAAACACGAGTGGTATTTCAGTGACAGGTTCCCCACCCATTAAGCAAGACACTCCCAGAAATTAATTGTCAAAAAATTTATTATGAAAGCTTCAATAGCAGCAAATATTTCAATAGAAATTATTGCATTATTAAACCAGTTCTGAAGAGTGACCCAAGAGGCCTGTTGAAGTGGATCTGTCCACTTTGGAGACTCCGTATTTGTCTTAGTAACCAGTTCCTAGTAGTCCATCAAATATTTGAAACTTTCTTCTCGTGTTCTGTAGACAGCACCGACAGTTCCTAGATACAGTACTCTGTTCAGTCCTTCTGGAAGGTTTTGGCCCACTTCCCCAAACTTTCTCTCTGCCTTCTGAAACAGCTCCACTTGACCAGGAAACTTGCAATACTTCTTTCAGTTCCATGGTATGTTAGCCTCTCCACGGTTGCAGCCTAGTAAGGCTCACTAGTGAGGTAAGCTGTTCTCCTCTTTCTCCTCCGTAAGAGCCCACTGCATGCCAGTCTGAGTGACTTTAATCCAGTCTCTTGACCAGGCTAATCCATGGAATCAGCAGCTTGTTGCACAGTTTGGTGAACCCACACCATGTTGAGAATGCAACAAAGGTTTCAGCCTCCCCCGTGCTATGGGTCACCATCACTCTGGCAGGGTGATAGTTGGCACCCAGTCATTGACATTTCGCCTCTCTTCACAAAACAAGTTCAGCTTTTCAAGAGCTTGGTCCTTCCAGCCATCTTCATTTGAGTTCTGTCAGGAAGAAAAAAGTTGCACACTATGAGCACTGCCTGCCAGCTAAAGTCATCACAATATTTACAGAAGCATGAGCTTAGAAAGCAAGGCATTTTCAGGCTGCTTCTGTCCTGAAGCAGTGAAAGCAAGAAATAGATGTCACCTTTGCAAGCAACAGTTACAAGAAGTACAGCCTACTGTAGTCAGGTGATTTGCTGTACAGTGTGTGCCAAGCCCCCATTCTTTGCCCAGAAGAGGATTTAGCTACCAGCAAGAGGTGGGACTGCCCCTGAAATGCTCTAACCACCCCATCCCGGGCAGAAATCAGCAGCACAAACACAGTCCTGGAGGACAGCACACCCAGGGCAGCTCAGCAGACACCCACCGTGATAAGGATGCAATGGAGGTCCCGCGGCTCCCCCGACTCCTCGCTGGGCCCCACGATTGCCGCCAGTTTGGCCACATCGTTCACCCGCACAATGTCAATGTCATTCTCGCAGCAGAAGGCCTGGATCAGGGTGAAGTGGATCTGCAGGGCAATGTCCCCCTCATCCTCCTCATCCGTAGCCAGCACACAGAAAGCGACGTTGTCAGGATCGCTGCAAGAGACAAGCGGCCCGTTCAGCCCCACGGCCGGCCGGCCCCGACGCTCCGCCAGGCCCCGCCGGGCAGCCTCCCCTCCCCCGGGCCCAGACCCGCGGTACTTACACATTCATCAGCTTGGCCGACTCGTAGACGCCGGCGGTGAGGCAGCCGCGGCGCTGCGCCGACACCAGCAGCTCACGGAGGGCCTTGCCGGCGCTCTGCATCCTGCGCGGCGGGAGAAGGCAGAGTCAGCACGGCGAACAACCCACCCCAACGGCCGCCCCGCTCCCCGCGCCACACCATCCAGCCCGCCCGCACCGCCCGGCCGTACGTACCAGTCGTGGCCGGCGGGCACAGCCTCCTGTCCGTGGATCTCCTCCAGAGTCATAGCAGCGGATCCCCACAGCACACGCTCGCTACCGGCTTCCTCAGCGCTCTGAGGCTGCGGCTCCCCGGCCGCCCTATTTATAGCCCCGGCGGCGGCGGGGCCGGCAGCTGGCGGCGCTGCCTCGCCTTTCCATTGGTCGGCAGAGGAGAACGGGAGGCTTTATTATGCTAATAGGCGCGCGCCGGCGAGGAAGGCGGGGGAAGGAGGAGGAGGAGGAGGGGGCGGCTCGTGCCCTGCTGCCACGTGGGAGAGGAGTGGGCCGTAGGCACGCGCCAGCCCTCCCCGGCCCTCTATAGGCAGCCCTGCCTGCGCCTTGCCTGCGGCCTGCAGCCCCCTGCCCGCGGCCTGCTCCCTGCCAGCCCCCTGCCTGCGCCTTGCCTGCACCTTGCCTGCGGCCTGCAGCCCCCTGCCTGCGCTCTGCCTGCGCTCTGCCTGTGCCCTGCCTGTGCCCTGCCTGCGGCATGCCCCCTGCCTGCCCCCTGCCTGCCTCCTGCCTATGCCCTGCCTGCAGCATGCCCCCTGCCAGCCCGCTGCCTTCGCCTTGCCTGCACCTTGCCTGCGGCCTGCAGCCCCCTGCCTGCGCTCTGCCTGCCCCCTGCTTGCCTCCTGCCTGTGCCCTGCCTGCGGCATGCCCCCTGCCTGCCCCCTGCCTGCCTCCTGCCTATGCCCTGCCTGCAGCATGCCCCCTGCCAGCCCACTGCCAGCCCCCTGACTGCCCCCTGCCTGCACTCTGCCTGCCTCCTGCCTGTGCCCTGACTGTGGCATGCCCCCTGCCTGCCCGCTGCCAGCCCCCTGCCTGCCCCCTGCCTGCACTCTGCCTGCCCCCTGCCTGCCTCCTGCCTGTGCCCTGCCTGCAGCATGCCCCCTGCCAGCCCCCTGCCTACCCCCTGCCCCCCGCACCCTGCCAGCTTGCCAGGCATGAGCTGGGCTGGGGTCAGCTGCGGGCACTCCCTGTCCCGATGGGTTTAGCCATTGGAAGTACTGGGGTGATTTCGGTACAAGGCTTGGGACCAAAAATCCAAATAATGCAGGGAAAAAAAAAAAAAAAGATAAAATATAAAGGTTTTATCAATATGATTTCAACAAATGCAGGTGCCAATTCCTGATCCCGGGAAAGGATGGCCCTTGCAGCCACACAGCCGGGGAGCAGCTCTGTGGAGGAGGCTCTGGGACTGCGGTGGGCAGCAAGCTGGGCCCAGATGCGGTGATGGCCCACTATGCCCTGGACTGCATGAACAGGAGCATGGCCAGTCAGTCGAGGGAGGTGATAATTCCCCTCTGCTCAGCACTCATGAGACAACAGTGATGTAGTTCCCCCAGTTTTGGCACCCTCAGTAGAGGAAACACATCAGCAAACTGGAGCAAGTTCCGATGAGGTCACCGAAGGCACCAAGGTGTCCAGGGCTGCAGCATTGTCCTTCACTGCCCTTCAGGAGGAGGGACCAGGGCTGCTTCAGCCTGGAGAAAGGACAGTCAGGGGCCACCAAACAACAGCCCCCCAAAACCTGTGGGTCTGTCATCGAGAAGACAGGGCCAGGGTCTTCCCAGCAATGCCTAGCAGGGAGACAAGGCACAATGAGCATAAATTGAATCCAAAGACTCAGAGAGAATGCAAGGAAAACTCTTTTCCTCCTGAGGACAGTCAAGCAGTGGGACAGGCTGCCTGCTCAAGGATACTGTGTAGGCTCCAACCTTGCAGCGTTGCAAGCCCCAATGGAAGAAAGCCCTGAGAGACCTGGTCTGAGCATCCTAGTGACACTGCTGCAAGGAGGAGACCTCCTGAGGTCCTTCCTGGGCTGTATTGTACTACAATCCTATAATTTTTTAAAAAAAATCCAGCAGATAGGGATTTTTTTCAGATGAGCATTATTGAAAGTAGATCTAATCTGAGTAGTAACATGAGCTTGAGCGTATCCTTTAAAATGAATTCAGTGTGAAATGTGTGTGATTGCTGAACTCAGATCTGAACCTGGACCAAGCAATAATAAAGCCATTTTTCCCGCTGTGAATGAGTACAGGCTAAATATTAAAGGACAAATTATTTTCTAAGTCTTCTCAATCTCTGGTATCTCAGTTTAGGCTGCCAGTTATCACTTGGCCACCGATGTAACCGCTTCAGACCAGAACTGAGTCATTTCATAGAGGTTGTGGAGAGCCACCTTGAGGTAGACGTATGTCTATTGCAAACCTGCGCCAGATGGAGCCCAGCGGGCTGCACAGAGAAAGCTCTGTGACCTGTCACCCTCTCTGCTTCCTCGCCTCCGATCATATCGTGCCTTACAATGGTGTTTAAACCCAGACTCCAGGGATGTCCTTTCCAGTACTTCTCCGGGAGTTTGTGCAAGCACGGCTCGTCTGTGGCTGTATATGGTATACACCTTCTGATCAGTAGTTTTAGCCTCTTCGAGCTCCATGACTTCAGAAATGCCCCTCAAACTGAGCCACTTCAATAGCTTGCTGTGTTTCTGCTTCCAGTTGTTTCTAGTTAGTGTCCCATCACTACAGGCAACAGCATTGGACCATGCAGTCATCTCCCGGTGAGCTTCCATTTTAAACTGATGACAACAGCAGGGTCTTCCAGATACATCCAGCCTCTCTGAGAACATTTCTCTGGTGATGTCTGTGGAGCTTGGAGGACTGGGGAGACAACTCTTTGTTGTAACCACCAATTCTCAAGCCTAATGACCTTTTTCACCCTATTAACATGCTAAGGCATTCTTGACTTGCGAACCCATGCCAGTGACCTGGCACACTGAATTTGCTTGAGCAGGGCATAAATTCTTAGTTTGTTTCCTTTGAAAAATATGTCATAAGTTTTCAGAAAATTACCTCCCTGTCTGTATTCATGAAATGGCAATTGTCTCCACTATTGAAATGAGTGTAGTGTACGTAGGCAAAAAGGTATGAGGGTAAAAATCCTCATACCTGTCTCTGCTCTCTCATTATTTTTTTTTCTCTAAATATATAACTGGGCAGAATGCAGAAGAATAGCTGGAATGGTAAATGGCAGCTTTAGCTTTTCTTGTGAAATTGGATTAAAAACACTAAATGGTACGTCTCTTAGAAGAATTGAAGGGCATATTTCTGATGTGTTACAGTTTCAGTGAATGATTAAATAGGTTGAAAGTCCAGGACTGACTCAGAACTTTGAAAGATGCTGATCTTAACTATGACTTCAGTGAGTTTCTCATTACAGTGGAAATGAAAGTGACTTAAAATGGATCAAAATTAGTAGGCCAAAATAACTTGTAGTGGATAGCAGTACATATGTAGTACTATAAAGTATATAAGTACCTAATGAATAAACTGATGTATGGAATGATATTAACATATTAATCCTTTCACATGCTAGCTTCTAACTTTGGCTTAATGATGCAGCACCCTGGAGTTATGGCTTCTTGTCACCATACTTTTCTGTTTGCCCCATTATTCCTGGGTCTCGTAACACAGATTGTGCTGAAGGCCATGACACATTACCAGATACCTGATCCAGCTTTAGAACCACAGGATCAACACCAGGCCTCTGATACGGAAGACGAGGTGCAGGAAGGAGACTTGTGCCTGCCCCAGGTTCTGTCCCTGTTTTGAAGGTGTCAACTCTGCAGAGACGATACCTTCGATGTCTAATAAACAAACTGAACTTCAGTGGAGGTTGGGCTTTGCTGCTTGCTTTCTTGTTCTTTTCCTCTTGGGTTTTTAATACATTCATGAAAGAAAAGAAAAAGAAAAAAAAGTAAAAAATGAGACATCCTTTTTGGTTTTTAACATTCCTGGCCATGAACACCGGAATAAGGGTGCTGAATATTTCCATCTGAAAGTGGAAGTTACATCCTCCCTTGCCACAAGACACTTGAGCACATTTAGGCTTACTTAAGTGCCCTCAGTATGCTTATGTGCCAAATACTGAACAACAAAAGTCATTTCTATAAATGCAGCTCAGTGTAATCTATGTATTTGATGGAAATCTGGTGGGTCAACTGATGAGTACTTGAAGCCATTCTGCAAATCGGGGCAGAGAGGAATATCATATGGCAACAGTACTTAGACATGTATAAGTGGACTTTGACGTTATATTTGAGAGCAGTATATATGCCACTTAGCCACTTAGCCGTGCTTTTCATAGCATTAAAAGATTTGGCTGAAAACCTGGGATTTTTACTGGCACCATGAGGTCATAACCGAATGTGTCTCAGACAAATGTGATGCTGTGTTTGCAGTAAAGGTGTGACCTCTGGTGGACATCTAAAGCATTACTGCTACAGAAAATTCTTGATAGCCCACTGGCAAACAGTACCTATCATTCAATTTCTGTTTTCGTCTCTTTAATGTTTTTAGTGAAAATTTAGCGGGGGGAGGGGAGGAGGAGGAAGAAAAAGAAAAAGTAGACGTTGGTGTTTCCTACACGAAGAAAACACCTAAAACAGCCCCTTAATCTTATAAAAAGTCAGATGCAGAGTAACAGGGAAATTACAGTATATTCAATCACAACAAAGGCAAGTAATCTAGCAGAATGTAACAGGTAAAACTGCAGGTAGATTACACGCCTGCATAGCTGGTAGTAAATACGATTTTGTGAGGAAAATAATAATTTATGTCCAACTGAAAAACAGCAGACACAGGCATCACCTTTTGAACTAAGTGAGAGGAAACTAAGGCCTCCCACATCAGAAAAGTCACGCAAGCAGTGGTAACATCCAGCCCAGCCATGTGGCTTGTACGTTGCCCTAAACTGTCTGGTGCTTTCCTAGCTCATGCTGTGTTCCTGGACTTCCCGTGAGAAAGATCATTTTTACCAAGATATACCTGTCCTTTCAGTTTAGATGGAGTAGTCCCAACCTCAAGTCTTTCAAACTCTTTCAGAGCTTCTCCTCTTCCTGTTCCAGTCCTCCACCCAGTTCCCCACCCAGCAAGCTTCTTTCTCCAGATACAGCATGTCACACAACAAATACCAGAGGAAAAAACCTTTCTACAAAACCAAGAAGTTTTAGGAAGCAAGTGTCTATTCCCAGCTTCCTCTACAAATCCTCTGGCTAAGATCAAGCT